TTGATGTCTCCTCCTTGCCTTTGGCATTAGAATAAATGATATTGCCCATTACCATCTTGGAGTGTTACAGTTAAAACTGTCAGTTTTTGATTTATCTTACTTTAATGAAAGTTATTGCTCACTCTAATGATTTTCTGTTTATCTATGCGATGTAGGCCAGGTTTTGCATAATGTTTTTCTTTTTACTGTGCATCTGTCGTACAAGACTTCACAAATGTTTTAGTAATTTTTATAGGTTTTATTTGTAGACATTATTCTTGCATACAGTTGTCATATTCATGATCACCTGTTTATTTGTCTGTTACGGTTTAAAAACAAGCTGCTCCAAACAGTTTGCCCTGATGGGATTAATAAAGCTGTTTGTATCGCCATCAGGGCGTTTCCTTGCTCACAGTGGGCCTTTGTGAGGGAACACTTGGCTTAGTTAACAGCAGCGAGTCTGCGTAACCTCATTTGTTTTCCAGTCGTAGCTGATCACCATTTGATAAAGAAAATTGTCAGCTATGCTTGAATAAATGGTTTAAAAAAAAAATGTGATGTGCTAAGTTAAATCGCTCTTTCCATAGAATGGCGTACCACCTCCGTCTCCTGGAGTCACCGGCGGGGGAGACTCACTCCTCTCTCCACCGAGCGTTGCCTCGCTCCTTGATATCTCCCTCCCAGGCCCTCCTGAAGAGGCTCTAACCCCCGGAGAACCTCAAACGCAGATCAGCGACTCCATCATCGAGCTTGCCATCAACTCCACACATTACGGTGCGTGCACGTGCAGACGTCTTACCCGAGCCATATTGACACGAAACTGCTAAATAAAGCTTATTGATGTTTGTTTAGTGAAATGAAAAGTGAGAGTAGGTTAGAAAGGTTTTGTAATTACCACTGAGGTCAGCTTTGTGGCTCCACAGAATTAATTCCTCTGCAGGTTGTGGAAAAGAGTGCACGTTGACATCCAAGCGGCTAAACATCTGAGCCTGCTGAGTTTAATCGCTGATGTCTCATTTTTTGTTTGCCTGCTGCACTGCAGGTGAGGAGGCTGCTCTCTCTCCAGCCAAGCTGGGCAACAGCGACGGCTCCAAACTGCTGGCCTCGTCTCCATCGCTCAGCCCATCCAGAGGCTGGATCCCTTCACCCAGCCACGACCCTCAGTGGTACCCCAGCGACTCGTCTGACTCCACACTGGGATGCCTCCTTTGTAAGAGTTTTGTTTTTTTTTGCTTCCTTTCTCAAGAGTGTGTCAGAAGTTAAATTTTAGGCCAAGAAAGACAGAATATTAAGTGGATGTATTTTTATCATTACTTCCCACTAAAAATGCTGCATACAGCAGCACGTACAGTCAACATTTACAAAGATTTGTTTGTAAAATCCCCAATATTACTGACACAGCTGTATGATGAAAGGCCATTTACTCAGTCTTTTGCTCTTATTTTCCTTGCAGCCAGCATGGTCTCTCCTGATAAGGGCAGACGGACCACCCTAACCCCCACTGGCCCCTCCAGCGGCACAGCTCTACTCGGTCCTAGCCTCCTGGACTGCAATTCTCATGATTCCTTTCAATCCCGTGGCCTTCCTGATGTGGCAGAGGTAAGTAAATGCTTGTTTATTAAATGAAAGAAAGTTGTGACTGAGAAGCAACACTTGCCACAAACACAACACAGTCCTCTGAATCTTAGTAACCAACATGTTATATGTTATTAATTAATCTCTAAAATGTAAATGTAAAAACATCACTTCCCATTTTAAAAATAACCTGCATTTATATCCACTCTGAAAATGTGGTCCTTATCCCCTTTTGGATCTGTCCTGCTGTGCAAGTGGACTCTGACCCAGAGCCGGTTGTGTTAGGGACCACATGGTACCTTTTTGGGTAGATCAGGTTCTGGGCTGATCCACTGATTTTTAGGTGATTTTTAATGAAAAACTTGTTGAGTCATACTCTGAGATTCAGACACCATACCTTTTAAAATGCTGACAGCATTTAATATCTGAATCTCAGTCTGTGAACATGTTTCCATTTTTAGTGCTCTCTCTCGCTCTCTTGCGTGCTTTGATAGCGACTTTATGAAGAAATGAATCGGGAGTGTCAGTTAGCTGGTTCAGGTGTGGCAGGAGGGGATGAGGCAGAGAGAAACTCTAAGTTTGTTAAAGAAAACCTGCCAGTGAGCAGGTTTAGTTCAGATTATGTTAAGTGACTCATCTCAGCGTTAACAAACGCAGACTTGTTAGCTTAAACCTGTTTCCTGGGATGGGGCCCAAACCTGCCTGGGAGGTGAATAGAGCCCGGTGACTGTTGCCTCCTGTGTTTGGACTAACACATCTGCTTTTTCAGTAAATAATTTAATTTCATTGACAGATATGACCTAAAGCATGAAACTGTTCAAGGGATGTCTGGAAAAATCTTGTTTTTAGGTTTTTTTTTCCTTCTTGGATTTGCCCTTGTTGTCAGTCTGAAAGCTCTTTGGTGTTGCTTGCAGATGGATTCTCAGCTTGCTTGTATGATGAGTGAGAGCAGCATAGACTACATCGCTCGCTTCAATGATCTCGCTCAGGAGCTCGCCGTGACTGAGCCCTCCATTCCACCTCCCTGAGGAGGAAGACCAGGAAGACTCCACCAAGCCATGGTCATCTGTACCTCTAATCTACAGCCAGTTCCAGGCATTTCCACAGTTCCGGGAGAGAGAGACACAAATTGCTGGGCCCACACTTGGAAGCAGTGACTACTGCTAGAAATTCAAAACTGATTTGCAGCCAGCAGCTGCAAATTACCCCAACTTTTACCACGTCTGGTTCTCAGACCTGTCGATAAGCAGACCGGTCCTAAAAAGAGACCAAGGCAGAACTTTGAGAGCATCATGTTGTTGGTGACAAGAGGTACTGTAAGAGAGGAGAGGAGAGGTTTCCTCTTTGTCTCCGTTTGGAGAAAGAAGACTGGGGAGAAAGGCCAACCCCATCCCCCCTCAAAGCCATCCATGGCCTGTTTGTAAAAGTGCAATAATAGGTGGTCAACCGTGACCATTGTTCAAAAGCGAGTTGCGTTGGTTTCACTGAACTGTTCTCTAAGGAACAATTCCCTTTAAATACAAACACTTTAGATAAAACAAATGAGTTTACAAAAATACAACCTCATGTACAGGAAAATTCTATGCCATATCCGAACAAAATATCTGCAACGATCTTTCATGTCTCTTCCTGCTCTCGGTGTGTGAGTGCATGAATGTATCTGTGTGTGCGTGTGTATTAAAGGCTGAAAGGCTGACCGCTCAAAATGTGCAGTTCAGATCATCAGCTGGTGGCAAACAGCCACTGGACTGTGATTTTTAGTAAAAGTAATGTCGGTGAGAAAGAGATGCTTGGCATAGTTCAGTAGCAAAAGTGGAACAAAACAAAGTGGTGCGTAGAAGTTCATTTTTCCTGTTGGCCTCCTTTTTTTCTTTTCTTTTTGTTCCTCATCTCTTATGAGTTCAGGTGTTACAGATTGTGTTGTAGGAAAAAAAAAAAAAATACAAATAAAAAATGGCAGCTTGTTGGTTGACTCCACTTGGGTAGCTCTACAGATGCTGAAAATGTTATTGGAATTATTTTATTGTTGCATTAATTTCTCATTAGTTTTATTGTGTGCAGAGATGCAAGTTCAAATATTGGATTTTGCTGCATAAACAGGAATACCTTTTAGATATTTAAGCCCTCTTCACACGTGTGGTATTTGGAGACTGAATCAATGTTTTAAAGAGTCTGTGCTGACAGTGCTTATAGCCACAAACGGCATAACGTGCGTAATGTACTGTTCTTCATGGTTGTTGCGTCTGAATGAAAACCTTGAGGAATGTTCACATTAAAACGTTTCCTTTGACTCGGCGCTTTCCCCGCTCCTCATTCGCAAGCTGCAATAGGGAGAATTTCCCTCCTGGATTGTAGATGTGAGCGTAAATTGCAGAGGAAGGTTTTAATGAAGGGAGATGAACATCTCAAAAAGATGCGTGTGAGCGGCAGCACTCTGATGCGTGCCTGTCTGTTAACATACATTCAGGCTTGCGCTGTTTTTAAAGGTGACCTATCCAGACCTGAAGCTGCCAGATCAACAGCAAGGAGGGCGTGTCTTTGTTTACTTTTGCTGTCGTTTTGAATAACGCTGACACAACAGGTGGGCGTTCTCTTGCCGCCGCCATCGATTACAAGGAAATCTAACAATGGAGCTCATTTACTTTCCTTAGCTCTGTTGCTTTCTTGCCGTCCTAATTAATTCAAACAAATGAGCTGTCTGCAGCCACACATTCATTTTGTTTGACAAACTAGAATTATGAATATCCTGGGTACTATTGAGAGTTCCCAGTAGAAATACACTCCATAAGAGCGAGCGGTTAATTTAATGAAACACTAAAGCCATAGTTGACTCCATTTATTTTAATTTTTGTTTTTTATTATATGCCCCCAAATTACTTTCCCTCTGACTAGTGGATGCTAACAAAACACTATGACTAAAGTAAGAGTGGCTCTTACATGTTACAGAAGCAGACATAATTTCTCTGAATTTTTCATGCAGTGCACATGCAGTGTGCAGTACAGACTCATTGCCTTCACATTTAATTTGATCAACCAGCATCATCTCTATGCAGCTGTGTGAACCCGTTTGGTGTAAACTCTTAGACCTCTTTGTCATTCCACAAACGAGATTGTAAGACGATCTAACAAATGTAAGCGCTCCTGTGGTGTTAATTTGAGAACAACATTTGGAAACGCTTGATCTTGTCACACTAGATGATTCTTAATAAGGAATCCTATTGAAGGATGTATTTGTACAAATGGAAATTCCAGTATTCACTGCGCTTTTGTAACATAATGTAAATCATTATTTGGACTATTTATTGTTAATATTTCTGAGACAAGTGTTTTTTCTGTTTAATTTAAGGTGACATCCACGAAAGGAGGAAAAAAAAAAATACTGTTTTCAGTTTGTAAAAGGTGTTTTATTCTGTGTATAAAGATAGTTATAAAAACCTGCCTGTTTTCTTGTATTCACTGTGTGTGTGGGGGGTACACGGCAGTTCATATGCAAGCTTGTACAAAGTTCGGTCTTTGGCCTTGGGCTCGTTTCTGACAGGTTTATCAGCTTTTCCAGAGATGGATGAGTGGTTTATCCGCAGACTCCACACTGAATTCCTCACTGCTCCCAATAAAAGTACAATCATGCTCCAATCCAGACGACACTTTAAAGTGACAAAGAATATTAGCCGGAAACAAAAACTCGACTGCACCTACGTGTGCTGAAGTGACTCATTTTCAGTGATGTGCTCTGCATACTGCATGGAAAATATGACCCAGAAACATGTCGGGTGCTGCACCATTTTTCAATGAGAAATTGTTGGCAAACGTTGACTTTGTAACCACAGTAGATATTTTAAAGGAGAGTAAGTGACACAGTTGTGGGTAAACATTCTGCCAAACATCAGACATGATCCCTTTACCACAGTTTGGTTTATTTAAGTTGTTCTGTTTGCATCAGGAGTCCCCGAATTATGAAGTTCACAAATTAAACCATCTCTTCTCACCAACCTGCAAAATGTGATACTGCAGGCTTTTGCCAACAATTTTTTGTTGTTGTTTTTGGGTGGGAAGGGTAAAAGTTTCAGACATGACAGACAATATCAACATGTAAATTAGACATTAAACCCACTCCAGATCTGTCCCAGATGTTATAAAACACATTTCCTCCAAAGTCTTGCTTATTTCAGGTCCTAGACCTCACCAGCTCAAACGTCACTCATCCTTAGGTTTTTGCTCCTTGCGAGCGCGCGAGGACATGAGCTTGAAGAAAAGTGCAGGCCAGAGTGTGCGGAGGTAGACGGCAGCGATGGGCAGAGGGCTGGCCAAAACCACGTCTTTACTTCGCTGACGAACAGCCTTTAGGACTTCCCACGCCACGTCCCTGGGGTCCCAGCCCGTAGCTGTAGTTCTGTCCAATACTGAGCGGTAGTTGCAAAGACCAGAGACATGTTGCATCATTGATACAAGAGAGTACAGATAACTTCAATTAATTCAACTTTTAATTATATAGTACCAAATCACAACAGCAGTTGCCTCAAGGTGCTTTTTAATGTAAAGTAAGAAAGACCCTACAATAACTTGTAAATTACTGGGGTTCTGTTGCTTCTTACTTTTATTATTTAGTTATAAAAATCCATTTGGCTTGTAGTCTTTTCCTTATGTAGTCAAAAAAATCAGTAAGAAAACAAAATCCCAGCTGGCATCAAAGATCCACACACATTCCAACGCCACCTTAACAACTATGAGATTTATCACCTGTTACCAGCTGACTCTTAAAAATGCTGCTTTTGCTACTGGTACTCTTTTGTTCCATCCTCTCACTGCCTCACCTCCATACTTGGATCCATCTCCTGTGACAGCGTTGACCGACAGGTTGGTTCGGATGTACCCGGGGCTGATCACAGTCACTGGGATCCCGTAGCGCTCGATCTCTGCCCGCAAGCAGTCGAAGTAGGCCTGGGTGGCGTGCTTGGAGGCAGCATCTGACCAGCATGAGACAAATCAGAGTCTTGCTTTAGTTACCCTACTGCTGCTGGCAAACTCGTGTTTGTTTGCATTAATCAAAGACGACTTACAGGCTGACCGGTAAGGAATGGCTATCTTCCCCTGGACGCTGCTAATCACTACAATATGGCCGCTGCGCTGGCGAACCATGGAAGGCAGGAGAGCTGTGGAGAGAGGAAAGAAATGAAAGAGAAAGGGCTAACTCATATTCATGATAATCTTCACCTAAATCTCTACATAAATGACTTATTATCTTCACATTTAGCTCGGCTCTTTCAACCACAAGCCAAAATAAATGAAAACATCCCGTACGCTGAAACCAACAAGATTACACAAACCTTGTGTAAGAGCAACGGGCCCAAAGTAATTTGTCTCCATAACATCCCGCTGAACTGAAATGTGAGTCTCTAGTATATTGCCACGGTAACTGATTCCAGCATTATTAATGAGGATGTCCACTTGTCCATAACATTTCAGGATCTCTTCTGCAGCTCTCTCCACCGTGTCCGTTTTAGCCAGGTCGAAGACAACAGTACAGGGAGTGTGAGTCTGGTGGATAACCAAAGCAAAACAAAACACTAATAGCGACTCTTTACATATGGATCCTTACAGGGTAAGCTATAGTTCAGACAGACCAGACTTTATTGTGTTACTCCTTTGTGTGTATATACATACCGGTTTCTGTGTGTTTGCTGAACTCGCTGTTAGTTCTTGGACCACCTGCTGCAGGCGAGCTGCGTCACGTCCACACAGCACAAGCCGTGCACCTGCAGCGTGGAAGACCCGCGCACACTCTACAATGCAAAATTCTCATTGTAGATTACTGAGCATAAACCAGGGGTGGGTAATTCATTTTCCCAAGAGGCCACAGGAGAAACTGGGACTGCTGCAGAGAGCCACACCAGTAAGCTGAACTCAAATCTGCTCAGTATCTCTTTATAAAGTGCTCCTGGTAAGAATTAAAACTGAAATAAGCATAGAAGAAAACTGCTAACATTTTTATCATGATATAATAAACATTCCACAAAACAATTGTGCACAAAATGTCCATATTTGTGCAAAATTTAAAAGACTTATTTTAAAATAAGTGCTATTGCTATTTTTAATTATTTTTTCTTGCTCAGCTACAGGAATCTAGTCCGTCTTGAGTTTCTACAAGTGCATCCAGTGAATCAACAGTGCAACAAACTGAAGTTAACGGTTTTAGTTACAACACCAACAGCATGGGTCACTGACTTGCACAACACCATCTGCTGTACGACTCAGCGGAAAAAAAACCCCACCAATTTCACTTCTGGCTTCATTTCAGTCACTTTATCTTGCATCTGCTTTAAAAGTCCCACATTTTTCCCTGTCAGATTTTGACAGGTGTATGTTGTTTGCAAACAAACAAACTTTGGTAGTCCCTTTTACTGAGCCTGTGGCTGCTAAACTCTTTTCGTTGTCCCATGTAAAAAATTCATTAACAGGGCTGGGTCATCACATCTCTCATCCACAGCCACCAAGCACTCTTTGATAAACTCCTCAGAGGATGGCTTGTTTGAAATCACAAATCTGGTCTTGCCTGCTCCATCCTCGGATGTGTGAAGCTTAGTGAAAAGTCCTGTTGCTTTTCGCAGATTTGCTAGCAACCGTTTTCCCATTGATCGCACGCAGACCGGTCCGAGACAACCAACGGGCAGTACAATGTCCAGATCTGATAAAGAACTGCAACTACATGTTGGCATCTGCACAACAACACTGAAGCATGAGATTGCACATTATCTAAATAAAAGCCTACTAGCACTAAAGCAGTATGGTTTAGAGAGTTTGCACATGTAAGCTGAAATGAATGAATGGAGGCTGACCTTTCCCGAGTCCAGAGCTGGCCCCAGTTATGACCACCACAACACCTTGGACTGAAGCCCTTTTTCTGAGACGTACAAGTATCCGGTACAACAATACGACTCCCAAACCGGTTAAAACCACCGGTAGCATTCC